GCCCGCCTTTACTGTAGCTTCCCCAGCAAAGAGAAGCAAGTGCAGACTCCTTGGGTAGGGCCAGCATAGCATCGCCCCTTCCTGGCCCCGCCCAAGGCCTCCAGGCAGAGGATCCTCCGTCCCAGGCTGGGACCTGCTGCTCTGGGTTCCCTGCTGGGCCCCCTGGCCTGTGCAGAGCTGGGCCCCTCTTGCTTTCGGGAGGCTGTGGCTTGTTCTAGCTCTGCAGGGCTGTGTCCTGCTCAGGCATCCACGGAGGCCGTGGGGGTGGGGGTTGAGGGGGGCTCTGGGGGCTATGACAGGGACTGCAGGAAGGAAAGGAGGCTCTGCCTTCAGTCTCATTTCCCTGGGCGGTTTGCTTTCTGAATTTCAGGTGGGTCACGAGGAGGGTGTTAGCAGAAAAGCCATGAACAGACCCCGGGAGGTGGGAGGTGGTAGACTCCTGCCTTCGTAGCCAGGAGCCGCTGACCCAGGGCCTGAGGAGCAGGACGTGCTGCGGCTGTGAGGGTCTTCGGTCCCTTCCTGCTGTGCTCCCACCTCAGGCCGAGGGGGTGTCCCTGAGTCAGGGCACTGGGAGACACGATGGGTCTGGGCAGAGAAATGACTGTCACCCTCCGAAAGCTCAGTCCACACACAGGCTTCGACAGAAAGGCCACATCCGTTGGGGTGCAGCCTCTGGACGCCTACATGAAGGATGCATTTCCAGCACATTCCTGCCGCTGAATCAGCGCGGAGGGTCTGCCAGGTCCTCATCCCCACGGCCTGAGCCAGAGAGGGCAGGGGGCTCGGGCCCTGGGGCCATGTCACCGCAGCTGAGTGAGGAGGACCCAGCCCTCGAGCTCAGAGCCTCCCCGCGTAGGCTGCCTGCCTCCACTCCCCCTGGAGTCCTACCTGGGATGGTCACGTGCCAGACCAGGACGGGGTGGAGGAAGCAGGCCACGGACAGCAGCAGGTAGGCCAGGAACTTCTGGAAGCAGCCCAGCCAGCGGGCCTTCTCCCTCGCTCTGGCGGCCAGGGACCCTGGCTGACACCTGGGAGGAAGGAGTCGGGGATGAGCAGGGAGCAGGCAGTAACTCGGGAAAGCCCAGCAACTCACGAGGCTGTGGGAGGCTCTGCTGAGGCCATGCTCTCTGCAGACACCCCCATGGGAGTCCTCAGTGAGGGGTCTCGCTGTGCCCCTTCCCCCTCAGGGGTCCGCTGGGGGCCCACAGCAAAGCGGAGCGGGCGTGCAGTGTGGGGGACACGGGCGGGCGGTTGTGCGGAGCATGCCCTTCACGAGGGGCCTGGCTGCTTGGGGTCTTGCCTGGGTGAAGATGACACGGGCCCAGAGGGGCTTCCTGACGGGCACGCAGGGTCCACACCCACCTGATTCCTTCAGGGCTGCTGCCTCCAGGTTCAAAGGAGAAAAGCACCTGCCCTTAGGCCCAGCTCCTTCGCCCTCTAGACTGACTTGGAGCAGGGATCTCACATCTCTTCCTGGCAGGCTGGCTCTGGGAGCAGAGGGACTGGCGGATGGTGTGCTGGCCCAGACATGGCCTCTTCCGCACCCACTGCCACGGCTCTTTGGCTTCCCCTGGTGGTCATTCTTTTGTGCCCAGGTCCTAGTTGGGGTGGAGCCCTCCAGAACTGGTAAAATGCCCCTGGAAGCCTAGGGCTCCTCCCTCACCTGCCCCCAGAAGTTGCAAGGATCCCTGGGCAGTGGGAGCTACTCACTGGAAGCAGATGGCCAGCAGCTGAGCCACGAAGTAGGCCCCTTCGCACACGGCGACAGTGGCTCCCGTGAACCTGTGTGGAGACAGGTGAGGGAGGCTGGGCCTCCTCCGGCTCTCCCTTCACCTTCCTGCGGTCGTCTTCTCGCCGCACCTTGGCCTCCTGACCAGAAGCTTCTCAACCTCATCCTGCCACCCAGCCAGCGTCCCCCAGGTGGGTCTTGATGGCAGGGCCGGCACGAGGTTGGGCTGTGGTGGAGGAGGGTTTGGGGCCTGGGGCCCACAGATAGGTGAGGAGGGAGCTGCAGGCCAGCAGGAGGGGCCACCTTGACCCAGCACCCGTGGGGGACACTGGCAGACGTGCTCCCTACTGTCACCAGGACGGACACCCCCTGCCTGCCTAAGAGGCTTAAAGCTGCACCCGTTCCCGAGCCTTTTCTTCTCCCGCTTTGCTCATCACGCACAAGGTCGCCGGGACGGGCTGACTGTGTCCTGAAATCACCTCAGCATCCGTCCCGTTCTCTCTCGCCTCACCCGGAGAGCCTGAGTTTGGGCCTTGGCCCCAGGCACCTGCACCTCTTTCTCCTTTTGGTCTCCCCGGCTGCCTGGCCCTCCTCCTCCACGTGGTCACACCAGCTGCCCAAGGGCTCCTTCTGACACCTGAATCTGATCATACTCTTCCCAGTCTAGGATTCTTCAAAGCCTCCTCATGCTCCAGTTGTGGTCCGGAGACCCTCAATCAGAATTTCCTGGGAATATGTAAAGTCATCGATTCCTGGGCCAGGCATCACAATCTTCAGGAATGGGACTCACATTTCTTATTGGAGAGTCTCACTGGCCGATAGGATTGAATTTCCTTAGCACACCTTTTAAAGCCCGTCCACATACTCGGACTACACAGGAAGCTGTTAGGTGCCCCAGGGCCTTTGCACAGGCTGGCCCCTCTTGCAAGGACTCCTCCTTCCTCCCCCTGTCTGGCAGCCTCTAATTCTTCCATGCAGCCCGGTACACTCTGGGAAAGGCTTAGTGTTAAGTGTTCCATGGACTTCTAGGGAGACTGCACAGTGGCTGGGACACTCAGTAGGACCCCGGGGGACCTTCGGAACAGGAGGTCACTCCCAGCCGGTGGGGGTCCCAGCATGGGCAGGGTTCTCAGGGCTGGATGCCAGGAAGGTAACCTGGGCTCAGGGGAAATGGGTGGAAAGGCACCCTGGGTACCTGACAGGAGGAGCAAAAGCTCAGAGGTGAGGTGGGTGAGTTTGGGAAAGAAAACCGCTTGGGGTGTAAACCGAGTGACTAGAAATAAGGTGGAGGTGAGGGATGACAAGCATGGCCTGGAGGCTGTGGCAGCCATGAAAGTCGCCAAAGGGACCTGTGTGTCCAGGCGGCTGACATGGTGGCAGGGTGCACATGCACTGCGGGGTCGTGGCCTGACTGGGAGATGGTGGATGTGACCCACCTTATGGACCTGAGAGCTTGTCTGAGGCAGGGGGTCTCCTTAGGATGCCGACATGGAAGGGAGAGTGGGGGCAGAGGAGGCGTCCTGCTGACCCCACAGGCCTGCTGGGCTCCCGTCAAGAGGGGCTGCTGGGAGCTGGTGGTCAGAGCTGCAGGGGTGCCAGGCTTCCCTCCCCCTCGGGGACTCACTGCACAGTGCTCTCCCCCTGCCAGGGGCATTTGAAGGGACAATGGGCAGAGAAGAAAGGACAGAGGCTGCTCATGAGCTTGGTGATGTGGCTAAGCTGCTCATGCCCACTGAATTTCTCATCTGCAAAACCAGCACTGGTCGCTCTCCAGGGCTGCCTGAACTAAAGGACACCGTGTACAGAAAACCTTTAGTTGCTTGGCAAGAAGGTGGCGCAAATGTATAGTCCTCTGAGACCCCTCTCTCTAAAACAAGAGCTCGGTTAATGTTTTCTCCCTAAAAAATTCCTGAAGAGATGAATGGGTGGATAGGCGGCCATGGGAATAGACGGATGGATGAATATGGATGGTAGATGG